CACACACACACACACAGCCTCCAACCAGACTCTAAAGAAAAATGCTTCGCTCTGTCCTCAAGCCCTCCGACCTGCATTTCCTTTTCAGTTTGGAACCCTGCCCTTCATAATACCCTGGACTCACTGCCCAGAAAAACAGGGAAGTTACTCTCCAGGAAGCCATGGAAATGAGGCATAAAAAGTGGGTCACCATTTCTCCACCAGCCAAGCTACGTCTCAGACGTTATCAAGAGTGACACCACCACGATGCCTCCACGTGGGATCTGTGTCAAACGCATTCTATACCAGCAGCTGACACGCTGACAGCTAATGACCTGCTAGGCATCACATGCAGTCAAGTTATTTTTAGATTTGTAGGTGTCTTTTCAGGCTGGTACAAGTGAACCATGCTAGGATTGAGTGGCTGAAAACTCTCTCAAGGAGAGAGGTGCCCAGGGTGGAGTGACACCAGGCATTGGACACAAAGCAGCCCTTCTGCCCATTTTCCAGGTAGGTGTCCTTAGAAGTGGGTGAGGAGAGAAGCCAATGAGAAGGCATGTGAATGAAACCATCTAAATAGAAAAAAGAACTCTGCCTGTCCTAGACACTGACATGACACAGAACTCTTTCTTCCGTGCACCTGTGTGCCTCTAAATATCCTAAGGTTTCTTTAGAAAGAACCTCCTGTTCCACCTCCACAGATATTTTTTCCCCTTTATTTTCTCACTTATATTTTATAAAAGCAGAGATTGCAAGCTGTTTCTCAAGCTGGTTCTATCTGTGTCTAGAAAACAGATGTGCCTTGTTTGACCTGCATGAGGCTCTACATTTTAACCAGCTGCCACCATGAAAAGAAATCAGGAAAGGCCATATTAAAATATCTATAAAATTTTGGGGCTTCTTTTGGAAAAACTGGAAGATCTGGCAACCTGGGTTCTTATTTGCGCATGACAGTGATCAAATGACTTTGAAACTAGCAGCTTCCATCTTTAACCCTTTCATACCCTGTGGGATATCTATCTCCCACCTACATTTTCCATCTCAGGGGTTTTGTGGGAAACCGGTATCCCACACTATGTGCTTGCTGCCATCTAGTGGGGGGCCTGCATAACTGTGTGAATTTGAAGAAATGAGTTTTATCCCACCAACCCACCACCTAAGGATCTGACCAATTGTATCAAAACGTCTATTATCTCAACATTTTTTGTATTTTACTAAAAACGTTTTCATTACTAAAAACACATGGTCTCAGTGGAAAATTCAAAGCCGATAGTAAGTTGGTCTGGAAAGAGTTAAACTGGATCGATGAACCCTAGTTTACTCTGTTGTTGTTATTATGTGCCATCAAGTTGCCTGTGACTCATAGCAAACTTATGTACAATAGCTCTGGGCCTGCCTTGTCCTGAGACAGTCTTACTGACTCCGACAACACCTACCCCCATTGCTCTAATTACTGTATCAATTCATCTCATCCAGGGTCCTCCTCTCCTGCGTTGCCCCTTCACCCCTCTGAGAATGAGATCCTTCTCTAAGGACTGGTCCCTCCTGACCGCATGCCCAAAGTATGTGAGACAGAGCTTTAAAAGCCTACCCTCCAAGGAGAAACTTGGTTTCACCCTCTCCAACACAGACCTGTTTTCCTGGTGGTCCATTGTATGTTCAAGACTCTTCTCCAGCCCCATAACTTGAAGGCATCAATTCTTCTTCTATCATCCTTAGTCATTATTCAGATCTCTGATGCATAGCAAGTAATTGTGAAGAAGATGGACTGGATCAGGTACACCTTAGTCTCTAGACTGATATTGTTGCTTCTCCGTACTCTGAATAGGTTCCTGACAGCAGATTTACCTAATGCAATTCACATTTTTATTTCCTGACTGCTGGTGCCAAAAGTGTTGATTGTGGAGCCGAGCAAGCTGTAACTGTCAACAACCTCAATCTCTTCTCCATCCATCGTGGTGCTGCCAGTTGGTCCAGTGGTGAGAATCTTTGTCTTCTTGATGTTGGGCTTCAATCCATATTGAAGACTACAGTCTTTGACCTTCTGCAGCAAGCATTTCAGGTCCTCCTCAGTTTCAACAAGCAAGGTTGTGTCATATGCATAACGCTGGTTGTTGATGAGTCTTCCTCCAATCCGGATGCCGCACTTCTCCTCATCAAGCCCACATTCTCGAATGATCTGTTCTGCATATAGATTGAAAAGGTACGATCTCCACTACTCATTTTTGTCTTGCCAACTCTGAAGCCTGCTGCCAGCTGTCACATATTCATATTGTCCGTGGCTCATTTCTGTCACTTATGGTTCTAAGGGCATCTAGCGCCTTCCCTGGGTATTTGCCGCTAACAGCAGAATTCTAAAATAATGCACAATTTCATGTTTTACATCCTTTGGAATTCATTCTAAGCAGATCTGACCTATATGCTTTTGCAGGACAGAATATTAATGGAGAAAAGGAGACAACAGAAGGAGGAGGGCATCTCATTAGTGTCAATGTTTCAACCACAGTTAAGTATTTATGTGAACATTCTCGTGTGAATTGTGTTTCTTTAGAGAGGGGAAATTCCAGGCACTCTAATTAGTCTGAAGAAGGTAAAAAGATGCAAAGATGAATTAATCAGATACACAAAGCTGGTTAGAGGCCATTATACAAACTTCTCCAACCTCTAAAATGCAAATGATTAGAAAAGTAGGCGAAATCATAAGCCGTGAGTAAGGACACACGGCATTGTGGCTCAGAGAATCGTGTTCATGGACAGCAGACATGTTTGACCAGTAACAAGCAGTGTGGGAGGGACAGAGAGGGGAATGAGAATGAGAAGGGAGGGGTGGAGAAGGGAGAGAGAAGATGCGGACATTGGGCCTGGGCAAACACTAACCTCACGTGTTAGAATGGGAATGAAAATGACCTCTGCCAAAGACCTGGGGCCCAAAGCCACAAGAATCCCAACTCCAACAAAACATTCACTTTGGCTGGCTCTTCGGGGAAAAAATTAGTAACCTTTGGCCTTTTTTTGTAGAACAGTTTTTAAAAGTAGATGCCGGCCGGCTGGACAGCTCCTCACCACTACACCAAACCACACCAAATTTCCCAGAAAAAGGTCAACAGGATTTTCTCCCCTTCGGAGGAACACAAGCCCTTCCTCCTCATGAACACATCACTCAGGACGTGGCCCCCTGACATGCAAACTGCTCTTCTTAGCAAAGCCCAGGCTCCTTTGTGATCTCTATTTCCTGTATGATAATAGCTTGCCCCCCCAAAAATACTAAATCTTTTTTGCAACATTCATGTTTTTAAAGTAAAGTATTATTAGCATGAAAACTGTTTTCTCCTTCAAGTTGAATGGCCATAAAACTTGGACCCTTCCTGAAACTGTGCTTTGTGGAGGAATGAGAGTTCTAAGAATTCTGTGAGTCGCCTCACCTCGAATTTCTGCCTAAGTTCCACGTTTCCTTCTTCGTCCCCTTCCGGGATGGGTACATTGTAGTACTCGCCTTCTTCTTGGTTAAGTAACTTGTACCTTAAAAGACACAGGAGAGAGAAGGGTGATGCTCACTGCGTTTACAAAATTACACTACAAGGTCCCCAACTCCTCTCTTCCAACTTCTAGTCGAGCTGCGTCCTGTGGCCCTGTTGTTGTTGTGGTTCTTGGGTTACGGGCAGTTGACTCCCACCCATAGCAAACCTGTGTACAGCAGAACAAAGCCCCGTCCAATCCTGCACCATTCCCACAATCCCTGCAGCCCACTGTGGCAGTGACCCTGTCTATCCACTTCCTTGAGGGTCTTCCTCTTCTTCGTTGACCCCCTTCCTTTCCAAGCATGACGTCTTTCTCCAGAGCGGCCTCTCCAGATAATGTGCCCGAAGTCTGAGAAGTCTCACCATCCTTTCTTCAATGGTCTAGTCCCAGCTAACTACACATTCAAAGCTATTTTAGTGACATATGGACGTGTTCCCTGAATCTCTAGATGGTCTAATATTTCCAGCTAATAACTCCAGTTGACACGGACACATTCAGCCTCAGGGGTGTCCTTACCATCCACTGGCTGGCATCTTCATCAGCTCGGAAACACCAAAGGACAGGGATCCCATGAAGTCGTTTCGTGTTGTTCGATCCCAGTCCCAGATTTCTACAGACAGTCGTCGGTCTTTGTCTGAAGGCTTTAATTTGCTACAAAAGAACAGACACACACATACTCCATGTTACATTAAAGGTTACTGATTTGTACATGTTCATGATCTGAGCTTGACACAGTGAAAAAGGTATATTCAATTTGCTCTTCTGAACTCATTGCTCACGAAGTACCAGCTCCTTATTCTGGCAACCAAAGAGCTAGCCCAGGAGGTGGCCAATGAAGGCCCGTAAGCCAAATCTGGCCCACTGCCCATTTTTGTCAATAAAGTTTTATTGGCACACAGCCCTAACCATTTGTCTACACACTGTCTGAGGCAAATCTGGCACTAGAGCAGCAGAGCTCGGTAATGTGACAAAGATCATATGGCTCATAAGACAGAAAAATATCTCCTGTTTGATCAGTTATAAAGGAGCCCTCTTGGCACAGTGGCTAAGCATTTGTCTGCTATACCAAAAAGGTTGGCAGTTCAAACCCACCTGTTGCTCTGTAGGTGAAAGATGTTATCAGTCTGCTTTCCAAAAGTCTATATATACAGCCTTTGAAACCCTATGAAGTAATTTTATTCTGTCCTAACCAGTCAAAATTGACTTGAAGGCAGTGAGGGTTGTTCTTTTGTTCGTCTGTTTGTGGTTTTTCCCATTACAGCAAAAAGCTTGCTGGCTGTTGTATACAATTAAGAAGTCCCTGACTGGTTGTTCGGATAGACTGCGTCTTGGATTCCAGTCTCCAGACACGACCTTGTCCTTGTGCTCAGCTATCATCAGTGTCTTCTCAACACGAGTTTGACTCTTGTCCAAATATTTCCCTTTTCCTTTTCTTCCCACTCTCTACCTCTGAACCCTCTGCAGCCGTTCAAGGCCCATTTTAAATGCTGCCTCTTCCAAGAAGTCTTCCCTGTTTGAAAGCATGGAAGAGTCTCCCATTTCTGTGGGAGGAGTACTTTCTGTATCATTCCTTACACCGTGTTTTTATACTACTTAAATTTTTGTCTTACCTCCTCCTAACTCTCTTAATAGTCTGAGTCCATCACCTTAAGATAGGCACATACCTTAAACATTTGTATACCAGGTATAATACCTTACCAGACATTTTTTTACAGTGTGGATAATCTATTACATAAATGCTCATCTGGAGCCGGTACTATGAGAACATCTGTCTATCTTTCTCCCTCAGAAAGCTGGTGGATTTGAACCGTGTACCTTTGTGTTGGCAGCATAGTTCTTTACCACTGAGCCATCAGAGCTCCCTACTATGGAAGCTTTGGATGAGGAGACCCACTGCCATGGAGTTGATTCTGCCTCCCGGTGACTGTCCACTAGGTTTCTGAGGCTGTAAGTCATTAAGGAAGGAGACGGCCCCTCCTTCTTCTACAGACTGTCTGGTACCTGCCACCTTTCCAGTTAGCATCACAATGCACTGTGCCACCAGGGCTCCTTCACCTCCTGGTGAACTGGCCACATTAGCACCCATCAGCCTAGGATGCTAACCACTAAGGGCTTAAGGGATGCAGTGATGTTGGAAATCACAATAAACCCCGTTCTTGTCTCACATAACGAGCTGGGCAGTTGGGCGGCAGGAAAGCAATCCAGGGGAAGGAGAGAAGGGACCACTTACAACGTGAAGGACTCGTTCCACTGGGGGTTGAGTGTAGAGCGGATGGTTTTGGTTTTTTGTTTGCTTTCATTTTTAGGATCAGGAATAAGCTTCAGCTTCACATAAGGATCTGAAAGCCCATTTGGATCCATAGGGATTAGATTTTTTGCATCTCGTACTGTGAAAAGAGAGAGAGAAACAAAGAAAACCCAAACGTTACAAAAAAGACTAGGATTGCTCAATGTCCTATGTCCATACTGAGCTGAAAGGCAGAAACTGCAGGATGGCGCTTGAGGGGAGAGATGGCCAGGACCAGAAGCTCCTGACGTTGAACGGGAGACAAGCCACCTGCTGCTGTCCCTGCCAGAGGTGGCACATGCTCTGTCTCTTTGAGTCCCTGGGATGCAGCTTTGTTGCTCAAAGTGTGGTCCTGGGCCAGGCAACACCTGGTTTGTTAGCAATACAGAGACCTGGAGACCATCCAGACCTGCTGAAGCAGAGCCTGCACTTTAATGAGACACCCAGGTGGAGTCCCCTGCACGTCCCTGGAGCACTGGACGGTCCTAGTTCCAGCAACGCTTTCATGGCCAGAGGACATGCATTGGTCCACTTAGAGTTTGTGCAGGTGTCTGGCAGGAATGTGCATAATACTTCTAACAGAAGGTTTGCTTGATGGTGCTTTGAAATCATGGTATTTCAAGTAGGAAGTTCCTCCAGTGGTGTGAATGTATAAAACCTTTGTCTTATGGCTTTGGTGATCATGTGACTCTCAAATGAATAACTTATCTTAAGGCCCAATAGTGTATCTTTATGCAAATCACCAATCATTCCTACTCATTCTCGCCTTCTACACTTTTTTTGCCAGCCAGATGACACTCCTCTCTCACACTCCCCAGGTTTTCCTAGGTCCACTATGCTAATTTTTGTTCACAACACCAGGTAATGATGGGGAAGTATGTGATCAGTCCTCCTCCAGGTGTGCTCTCAGGAGGCACCTTCCTGGGGACCAGGAAATGAGAAGAATAAGAACCTCCTGTCTTGTGGACAGCCTGGGGCTAGTGGGGTGCCACGTGCCACATGGCTCTCCCAGGCTGGAAACTGTCTACTTGCTGAGGGATTTAGAAGGCAACGCAGAGAGCATAGCACTAAGAAGGAAGAAACACAAACCACCATCATGGACAGCCACTGCAGGGTGCCTTGTACGTTACCCCAGGTTTCCAAAAGTTCACATTACAAAAAATAAAACAAACCTCCAACAAACAAATGTGAATGAAGAATAGTGTGAAACTCAATGTATACAAACTTTGTAAGCAAACCAATAAAAGAGAAGGAAAAAATAAAACAATAAATGCAATTCATCAGATCAATAAAAGCAAACGGCATGAATAAAAACAAAAAACAAACAAAGACCCAACAAGATTTGTTAAGAGCAAATGATTAGTTCTCATGCCTCACCCCACCTATTTGGCCTTCAGAGTTCAAGGTTATGAATGTCTCCCATATACAGTTTATCACAATCCATCGCAGCCAACGTTTTAGCACGACTCAATGCTCATTGTGTAGGTGCTCACATACCTCCTCAGGTGACAGCCACGGGCACACGCAGCGCGGACTCAGAATCGGCTCTGCAGGTGTCCATGGCCTTGTTCCCAACAAGCAGGACCCGGGCCCAGCAGCCCCAGCATCACCTGGCGCTGGTTAGACAGATCCTCGGTGGGGTTCCAGCATGCTTTCCAGAGACAGAAGCACGCATGCGCATGCAGGATTCATTTGCAAGGAGGACTGTTCCCCGAGAAAGGAATGTCCTCTCAGAGATGCAGCTGGCTGTGGTTTACTGCAATGAGCGCAGCTGTCGAAAGCCCTGTACATCCAGAGCACAGTCTACGTTACGATGAGTCTGCTACACAGGACTGGGCCTGCCCACTATCTTTCCCGCGTGTCTCACTCCATCCACTTAGAGAACACGATGCACTTTGTAGCATAGCGGATCTGCTTTTTAATCTTACCTCCTTCACTGGGAAACACTGAGTCCTAGGAAGCATACCTCTCTAAGATTGTAGCTAGGCAATGACAGAGGAACTGCTGAGGAAACCAGAGGAACTGAAGGTGGCTTGGTGGCACAACGATTAAGCGTTCAGCTGCCCACCATAAAGTTGGAGGTTCAAATCTAACCAAAAGGAAGAAAAATAAAATCTACTTGGCACCAGCAGTCAGGAAATAAAAAAACATATTGCGATGGGAAAGTCTGCTGTTAATGACCTCTCTAAAGTACTCAAGAGCAACGGTGTCTCTCTAGAGACTAAGGTGCGCCTGATACAGGCCATGATCTTCGCAATCACTTGTTATGCATCAGAGTTGGACAATGACTAGGGAGGACGGAAGGAGAATTGATGCCTTTGAGCTGTGGTGCTGGAGAAGAGTATTGAATGTACCATGGACTGCCAAGAAAACAAACAGATTCATCCTGGAGAGGGTTAAACTAAGCTACTCCTTGGAGGCAAGGATTCTGGGGCTTTGTCTGACATACTTTGGGCGTGTTGTAAGGAGGGACCAGTCCTTGGAGAGGGACATCATGCTTGGGAGGGTAGAGGGACGGCACAAGGGGGGAAGACCCTCTATGAGATGGATTGACTTAGTGACTGGGGTAATTGGGATGCGTGTGTCAGAAGCAGTGCAATTGGCACAGGATAGAGCAGGGTTTAGGGCTGTTGTACATAGGGTCGTTATGAGTCGCAAATGACTCAACGGCACATAACAACAACAACATTTCCTGATTACAGGTGAGAAAATGCTATGAGGATGTTGAGTCAAAAAGGAAAAAAGGAACCCCGTAGGGCAGTGACTGAAGTGTTCGACAATTGAGGTGAGGTAGTCCAAACCTTTACAGGAGAAGGTGTACCAGTGGGCGTCCATGAAGGCTTCTATCCTTAGAAACGTTAGCTGGCGGTTTATTCTATTTTGCCTTATTAGGATCACTATGAGCACCATCGACTCAACGGGCAGAAGGTTTGGGGCTTTGGGGTTATACGCTGAAATTCACTTGAGGCACCTAACAGAAGGAACGTATCAAAAGAGTCTTGCATGATTGGGGGCTGAGTGGGGAGACACTCTAAGTGTTTCAAGGTGTCAGAAATGGTTTCAGACTCACTCCCACTACATGTCATCAGAATCCTCAAGGAGGTGAGGTGGGAAGTCCCCAGAGCAGCAGGCCACCTGAGGACTCACTTCTTCATTATGCAGAAGATGCAGGGGGCGTGGTCTCACAGAACAACCTCCCAAGGGCCATCAGAGCTGAGAAGAACAGAGTTCTATGAAGAGGAAAGCAAAGGAGGACACAGGGCTCTCTCCATTAAGCCCTGGGATAGGAAACAGCTGCTTTCCAAAGGGCAGAAAACGCGCCGCGAAGTCCCACACAAGCTGCCAAGATGTCCTGAGCTGCCTCCTGCCAGCTGCAGAGTGACTGTGGCCTTGACTTTAACCAACAGCAATGATATCCCTGACAGGGACACGCACAGTCCTTTAAAGGCTGATCACTTAGAGTGGGATGAGCTAAACCTTGATGGGATTTAGAGCTGTAGGCTTCCTACTGAGATGTTATCATTTAAGTCACAAATAAAAGAGTTCTCAATTCCAAATGTCACTGAAGCAGGCAGTGGGTGCAAAGTGAAAATTTCTTACCTCAGCAGGGACCAGCCTGCCTGACTCAGGACCTGATTCCATCAGGGCCACCCCAGTCTGGACTGAGGGTGGTCAACCTGACTTCCATCTGCTCGGAACACGGGAATGAATGCTGGCTTGGCCCTTATAAGGCTGTGTAACCCCAGGTGGTTTTGTGATTAAATGCTCAGCTGTTAACGGAAAGGCTGGTGGTTTAAACCCACCAGCTGCTCCAAGAGGGAAAAAGGTGGAGGTCTTCTGTAAAGATTATTGTTTGTAAGGGCCACTGAGTCAAATAAGACTTAGGGCAAGCCTCGGCCCAGCGGATGGGAGTCGTCCCCAGCCTCCGTCAGCTCAGGCCCGCTGCTGGAGCCTCAGTGCTGATCCGTCTACTCGAGGAACCTCTCTTTCGCTGACCTTCCATTTTTCATTTCTTGTCTCTCGTTCTCAACAAGAATAAAGCTGTTTTGGCTGACGGAATTAACATTGAAAAGCAGCAATGGCTTCTGCTCTTTAGAAAGAGCAGGATAGAAGGATTAATGGAAATAAGAATTACAGAGATGGAGAAGTGAGTACCTCGTGGGTACTGTAAACAATGTCCTAAAACAGTATATGCATGCTTAATGAAAAGCCAACATGCTTTGTCTGCTTTCACTCCAATCACAATAGAGAAAAAAAAACAAACAAACCCAAAACACCCAAAGCAACAACTCAACTCCTACTCTTTTATAAGCAAATTATTGAGAAAATAATTGGTCTTTGTAATTACTTGCTATGCATCAAAGAGCTGGACAATGACTAAGGATGACAGAAGAAAAACTGATGCTTTTGAGTTGTGGTGCTGGGGAAGGGTCTTGAACATACCATAGATCACCAAGAGAACAAACAGGTCTGTATTGAAGAGGGTGAAACCAGGCTGCTCCTTGGAGGCTAGGATTTTGAAGCTCCGTCTCACATACTTCGAGCACGCAGCCAGGAGGGACGGTCCTTGGAGAAGGACATCATGCTCGGAAGGGACCCCAGATGAGACGGATTGACACAGTAATGGGGATAGGTGGTGTTAGAGTCCGTGAGACTGGCTCAGGACAAGACAGGCTTCAGAGCTGTTGTACATAGGGCCGCTATGATTTGCAGGCAACTCAGCACATAACACCACCAACAACATCAAGAAGAACTTGTTTTCTTTTTAAGAATGAGTGTGCAATTCCTGCTCCAAATGGGAGATGGACTGTAAGTGGGGAAAGGACTTTTCTTCCTTGCTCACTCTCAGACAGCAGCAGGGACTCTACTCCGAGAGTCTGCCCTTAAAGGGGTCCGGACACAGATGAACTCGGTCAAGCTCTCTGGCACCAGGACCCCTCAACAGCCCTGGAACCTTTGTGAGGAAGACACATCTGCTGGAAAAGGGCATCTCCTCTCTGGTATTGGCTGTTTCAGCATAGAGAGGCTGTTCCACAACTTGAATAGCAATAAAGAATACTCATTATATTCCCATCTTTTGGCATCAGAGGCCTGTTTTGA